GCGAGTATCAGGGGGTGCAAAGAAGATGCAAAAGTCTTTGTCATGATGGCAGGGCCTCCCTCCACTGACCATGGCCGATTGTGGCACCTTGTTGATCAATAATTGCCACACGACAGCTAAATGGGCTTTAATGGCATGTTGGCAGCAGGCCCAAGCCCAAGTCCAAGCATCAGCCGCCTCCCAAGGAAATGCAAATCAAATTCTAATGATGTTGTAATGCAGACACCCCGCGAAGCCAGTGCTCCAGATGGTATGGCCCGGAGAGGGCCCGAACCGTTTAGACAATGCCCAGGCACGCAAATATTTCTGCCAGCACCACAAAATCAACTGGGGGAAAGATTATATTATTAGAATTAAACATGCAATCTGACAAGTGTTTCGGCCAACCGGGGATGAGCATGAGAGAGAGGGAACAGGGGCTAAGGGGGAACAGAATCGTTTCCTGGTCATCCCAGTTCTTGACCAGGCTAATTGCCCAGGCATAAACATAAACTCTGCACGGCCATGGCCGCCATGGCCATCGTCATCGTCATCATGGGCGATTTATGATTGCATTTCCTGTGACGTGAGGCCAAAAACCGAACCGAGAATTGATCGGTTGATCACCGTTGCTTTGTCGCCCATGGTGGCACCATGGCACCATGGGACCCGCCGATCAACGTAGTACTTACAACGGAAATGCCACAGAAGTCGGTTTCATTCTCATTGATATTCCATAGAGACGGATTCTGTTGGTCCGCTGTCTCAGTGTCTTGCTGTCTCGCTGTCTGTCTTGTGGTCCGTCGCTGTCTTCTGTCGCTGTAACGACGACCCTTGTCTAATAAGGTATTAATAAGTTTTTGCCTTGGCCAAGACCAGACAATTGCCGTTGCATTCTTGGGCCTCTTTGTTGGCTGTAGCTGTTAGCTGATTCTCGCTGCTGTTGTTATTGTCGATCGTGCTGCTGAATTTTAAATGCATGATTAACAATCCACACTAGACATCGCAATTGCGATAGTATATGGCATTCGAAATGGGGAAAATATTGCTCTTGCATTCAGTTGAGTAGTTTATCTGTGGTAAGGGCCATGAATCGAAGTAAATTTCTTGGGTGGGCAACTCCAATAAAGGGAGTGCACCTCCAATAATTTCTTATCAAAGCGCTGGGACATTGACATATGCTAAATGTTTTAGCTCTTTATGTAGAATGAACTTTCTACCCCTTAACTCCCTTTTAGGGCGAGGAATTTGCAGACAACTTTAAGAGTCTCTTCTCATTGATGCACATTTGAAGAGCACTTTGAATGCAGAGAGCTCTGCCTCCGAAACTCCCAGCACTTTGTTGATTAGTGTAGGCAAAAGACAATGACACATGCAACACACAACCACTGACTGATGCAACAAGCTAAAATTAACGTATGAATGTCAGACAGTTGCTTCTGCTGCTGGTGCTGCAACAAAGGTCAGGCAGCGCGTGCTGATGATGGCTGGTTGAAAGTTGACGTGACCCGTTGGCCAACAATGCTGCAAGTTGTGGTTGACTCTGGCTGGGGTTTCGGTGATTAATCAGACACATGACAAAGATGCGTCAGGTTATGGGAATCGAAGAGAGACTATGACCTTAGCCAAGCCAAGAGTCTGGGCAATGTCAGAATGGGTTTGCAGCAGAGCTGAAGCTGAAGCCGGGCAGATGTGGTGCTGGCATCAGCATCGATTGGCAACGACTGGTACAAACGTAACTGAAGTCCACTTGTGGCCACTTGTGACACACTCGGACGGGTCTATGTGAGGCTCAGTCTGCCCGCAGACCAGTCCCTGGGCCTGGAGTACGAACAGATGCCAATCGAAAGATAACCAACCACACACACACACACAACACACACACTGGCATACCATTTCAATACAATATTTGAAATAATTGGCTACAAATCGTCATTACAATGCTGTTTGCTGCAGTTGAAGCTGCAGTTGCAGTTGCAGTTTCAGTTAAGACTGAAGCTGAAGCTGGAGCTGGAAACTGAGGGGCCTGCTGCATCGATGCCATGTCCTAGGCCACAAATTGCAGTTGGCTTAAACTGCCGCAATCGTAGCTGCCGTTTCTCTCGTTGCTGCTGCTGCTGTTGCTGCTGCCGCCTGACCTACGACACCATCATGCGGCAGCCTCCTCCCCCAAAAGCGGCCTCAAATTACTATTGATACTGATAGCAACTGCTGATGCAGCAACCGGCAACTGCAATTGCAGCTTGCCACAACAACAGCAGCAGCAGCAGCAGCAGAAACAACTCCACTTTTGTTCTTGTTCTCTTAATGCGTTACGGTAAATATTTTTGTCTTCATTTTTCCAGTTAAGATCGAGATGAAGTTGAGGCATCAGTGCTGCCTGCTGGGCAGCCGGACCTCGACTCCAATTAGCCAAAAGAACTACTCATGCAACACACTCGCATGCGGGTTCTCTGAATGGGGGAATACGAGGAGTGACGGAGTGACGGAGGTGTGTGTGTGTGTGTGTGTGTGTGTGTGTGTGTGGGACGCTGCAGGGGCCATTATGCTGGGGGGCTTGGCCAGGTGCCAAGAACTCAATCATTGCATTTTGTTGGGTTTTTGGAACAATTGACGGTTTCCTAATGTGCAAAACGTGAGGCCAATTTGCATGACAACAGCCAAGAGCCTCTGCAGCCGAATGCAACGGCAACAATGGACCAACCAGGCAGCCTTCATTAGGAGGAAAAAGAATAAGAAATCGCAAGTACACCTTGGTTGAATGAGTTTTCCAGCATTTGATGTCGATTTGTTTCAAATCAAAGTGCAACAATTTATTTAAACTTTTTTGTCATCGCAAAGTGCGCATAGCGCATAGCAATGGGTGCGTGATTTTGGGTCGTGAGTGGGATTAGTTCTTCGATCTCTCACATAGCATCATCGCCTAATATCTATGTACATATATTGGATATTTTCTTGCGTTTCAGAACTCCACATTTAAATTGTATTCTTATATATTTCCTTAATCTATCTCTTCTTGATCTGTGGATATTTTTTAACGCCTCCTAGGAGTCGCATGAATCTATTCCATATCCATTCAACTCTTTCATTGCCATTGGAACCATTTTCAGTTCCCTCTTTTGGTGTCCAAACCCAAACCCATCCACAACTCGTATTTCGTGTCACACTGCCATCTGCAGCACTCCCAATACTGCGCATGTTCTGCTACGCTGCCGCTTCTGCTGCTGCTGCGGCGGCTGCTCCATTGCATAGGTCACGTGTTTCGTCGTGTGTCTGGCCAAAATATCAGCAATTGAACTATAGACATTTTGGCCAAATCCAGTAAGCAGGCCAAAATGCCGCGATCCCGCTTTGTCTGTTGGGAGTGGAGGAGGAGGAGGAGGATGAGGATGAGGAGGCAGAATGGCGAGGGATATTTCTGTTGCTGTTGCCGTAGTTGCAGTTGCAGTTGCAGTTAAGCGCATCTTGCCCAAATGTCAAATGCAAATGCGAAAAGCCAAAAGTCTGTCTGGCACCTGCTAACTTTTGCACTTTTCATTTTGGCCATTTCTTTTATGGTCGGACAGATCTCACTCTCTCTCTCTCATCGCTTCTCTCTCTCTGTTTGGGCTCTCTTCTTTCTGGGTTCTTTTCTTTTCCGGCTGCCAATCATAATTAATACGCTTAACTTGAGTTACTTAGCCTCACTTTAAGCTGACAAAATGTCCCACTTCTCTTGGGCTTCATTAAAAAGCCATTAGATGGGGTATATACTCGCCCCACCCGCCCCCATCTTTCTTTCTCCTGCGTCCATTTTGGCCCAAAACCTCTCATTAGAAACTTCTATTATGGAGAGCATAAATCGCAGGCATGTTTGTTCGGTTGCCGATACAATCAAAGACAAGACTCTGAGTGTTGAGTGTGTCAAACAATTTAACTTGCGGCAATCTTGAGCGTCGGTCCACGGTCCACGGTTCTCGGACCTCTGTCCTCTGTCCTCGGTCCTCGGAGCGAGCCCCAAAGGCAAGTTTGCGTGGGAAATGCCGTCGATCGTCACGATCAGAGCCACCAGACAGACAAGGAAAACTTCACTTCACTTCACTTCAACTTTGGCTACAGGGGGAAAATGCAAACTTGATTTTATCGTTGACTCTAACTCTGCTTTCAGGCTGTATGTCGTTGCTGTCGCTGTGGCTCTCTGTGTCTCTGTGTCTGTGTCTCTGGCCTAAACTGATTTGCCACTTGACAAATGAGTTGACTGCCACATGTGCAATTTGGAAAACAATCCAACCAACCAACCACCCACCCACCTACCCTCCACCAGCCGTACAGCACCCATGCAGCACACAATTTTCAAGTGGAGCCAATTTTCCTCCGTTGCAGAGCAGAGCAGAGCCGAGCAGTGCGAAAATAAAACAAAGGAAAAACTCTCTCGCTTTGACTTTGACAATTTGTGCATTGATTTAGAAAATAGCTCTCTTCCAATGGAATCGGCGGTGCCACCGCTCCATATGAAAATGACATGGAAAACGGAGAAACAAAAGAGAAAAGCGCAGCATACAGAAATGATGAAAAGTTCATCGCAATGTCACATGAAAGTTTTCCATACTCTATGGCAATGACTTTTATGAGTCCTACTTGTGCCTATCTGTGGCAGCCATGCATCTCTCTCTATATATTTGGAGCACTCCATGCACCCCATGCATAGTGTATAACAAGGAAAATTGGCCTGAAATTGGAGCTATCAAAAGGCAACTTCCACATTTACCCAAACTCCAAGGCAGTGGCTGTGGCAGAGGCAAAGACAGAGCAGAACGAAATTTCTGTTTCGATTGTGCTGTTTTGTTTCTGGATGGTGGAACGGGGAACGGTATGGGGATGGGGAATTTGGGTACTGGGGGGGGTATAAGTATAAGGAAAAAAGTCATCATAGCCTGACCTTCATTGTTGTGCTGCTTCTAACATTTAAATTTGTTTTTCTTTTTCTTTTTTTTTTTCATCTTTGTGCCGCTTTTGTGTCGGTTCAGTTCAGTTTGGTTTGGTTTCTTTCGATTTCAACAGAAAACGTGCCAAAAATTTTGGCTGCCAGTTGCACGTTCAACAAATTTAATACAGTTCAAGTGGGTTTGGCTTTGGCTTTGGCTTTGGCATGGCTCGACCTGGTCTGGTCTGCTCTATGCCGCTGACTGTGAGCTCTTGACACACATCTCTGAGCAGCTGAACATAGCCTTATCAGGGTCTTATCAGCTGGTGGGATGGGAGAACCTAAAACACAGACAGGCAACAAGACAGAGCGACACCCTGGGCAGCAATCAATGTCAGGGCGCAGTTTCAGTTGAGTTTAGCATCTCTCAGAGAAATGTTCGCCGCCTTGAATCTCTGGTTTATTTTTTTTATATTTGATTGGCCTGATTCAAGGCCGTTCCATTGTGGGCGAAAGCCAGGAGGTGAGTTCATTGCTTAGAGGTTGCTTTTTAATGTCTATTCTCAGTCTTCAAAGTATATTTCTCAGGCTCAACCAGATTCCACAATCTTTGAGTACTCCCCGACTGAAAGGCAAGATTTCTTTGACGATGATGCTTGGATGAATCGTTTTTAATGTGAACTCAAATTATATTAAATAAATTTCGATGGATTGGTCTCTTTAAAAAAAAAATAAATGCTGTAGCATTCAGATTGCCTAGAATTTAAAGGTGTACTGTCCTCCGGCTCCGAACTGGGGACGACTGTTGCCGTAGGGTCCGCCAAAATGTTGGCCATACTGGCCCGTGGCATCGAAGGAGTGGCGTCCATTCTGGCTCTGCCACACGGGTGCACGACCGCTCAGGCTGAGGTCGAAGCCCTGGCGAGGGCCGCCTCCGCCACCACCCTGAAGTTGGAATTGGCGACGCACTCGCGGATGATCCACATCCACATCAATGGAATCGGGATAGAGCTGTAAATTATAGAGCCATTAGATGCTGCATCCTCATAGTTCTCTCATTTTGGTTACTTACCTCCGACGGTTCCACATAGACCAAATGCTGCGGTTCATCTGCCAGTGGATAGTCCCTAGGATCGGGATAGGCAATGGCGACGGCACAGAGACAGGCACAGGCCAGGCTCATCAGCAGGAAACTTGATCTGAATTCCATATTGTGGACTTTAAGTTGAGAACTGAATGCCGATAGACACAAGTTGCCTGCTTTTATACCTCGGCTGAGAGTCTTATCAATGATTGGGATTTATTCCCCATCCGGGAATCCCATCGGAGTGGCAGAACAATCCCTGGCTCAGTGGTTCACAAGTAGATCCCCGCGTCTGCCAGCCGCTGATTGATAAGAAATATGATCCATCAGCAAAGAGTCGCTCTCTGAAATGAAAAGTGAATCCCAAAACTGAAACAATACTCGTAAATGAGGTGAGCAAATGAGACGGTTAAAGTTTACAGCATTATTTATTTATGAATAATAAATCTTAAGGTATACTACTTACGGTATATTCTTACATTAAAGACAAAGAAAGGGAAGCCCCTAGTTAAAGGAAGCCCTTTCTGTTACTTATTGCATCCCAATGTCGCTCCAACCTATTCATCATTCAGATACTGAAAATTCTGTACCATTAGCAACTTCTTTAGCCACTCCACTTCGTTTTTAACTCAACTCGTCTTCCGTAACTCTATTTGTCATATTTTTTCCCAAGCGGATTTCCGCCCATCGCAACTAAACCACCCACGAAATATACTTCCCCAATCGATACATCATGGGTCAAGGTTAACTCGGACTTCCGATTAATGATGTGAAAAGCTCTGGCTAATCCCCAAACATGGCCAAGAATTTAAAGAGTGCTTAGAGCAAGCCTCACCATGAATCATTTGTTAGAGAAAAATGAATTTGCTTCGCTTTCGTTGGAGATGGCGTAATATACATATGCTGCTTTGAGAGATACTCAAGAGTTTTTGGATTGAGCTGTGGCATGATAAATTTCCATTGAAGGTTCTTTTGACAGTTTACGCAATAAATCCAATTAGCAAAAAAACATTTTGTCTTGGCAGGTTTCATTAAGACGCCTGTCATCGTCATTGGCATCGCTTAATTGGTTATTACCCACCAGAATTTTTAGCCAAAAAAGATGTATCTACAATTAGCCAAACTGCAAGATCATCTCGTGTCTGCGACCCAAACCCTGTCCCCGCCTCAATCTCTGGCCAATATGTTCCGGGGTAGACGAACATCGCCAAGGACTAAGATGCCATAAAAACACAGGTAAAGAATTTGTGGATAAATACATGCATGTTTATTTTATAATATTTCAGAAATAGTAGGGTATAGCACAGGTAAAGATATGGTGAGGGTAGTAGGATAGTCTACCATCTGTAGCGATAGTTGGTGCCAACGTTGTAGCTGGGCTGCGAGCTGCCCCATTGTCCGCCCAAACGCTGGGCATATCCGCCGTTCACATCGATCTCGTGCCGCCCGTTGTCGCTCCGCCACACATTCTCGCTGCCACGCAGCCCAAAGGTAAATCCTTCGCGCTCCTGGGCACCACCGCCACCCTCCAGATTAAGGGGATACCGAGGCCGTGGCGTTGAAGGCATTGTCATGTCTTCGGGCGCCGGATATGCCACCACAGCACCGACAATGCAGCAGAGCAGAGCGAGAATGATTGTAGGCTGCATCTTGATTGGAGTAGCTGAATGCGTTAACTGATACTGCATCTGCCAACCCACTATCCCTTTATATAGTCTGGATGTTTGTGCCACACAAAGATCAGGCCAACCCACTGCTACCTGCCGTGTGCATCCCAGCAGCGGGGATTTCGCGTATTTTATTTGACTTGACGATAGGCGCAAGTGGAGCACTTCGAAATCGTCGGTCTTAGTAGTATCTATGGAAAACCCTTTTAGCAAATGAAAGCAATGCAACCCAAATAGAAAATTCTTCCAATTGGAGATACGATTTTTAATGGCTCCTCTTGGATAGTATATAATAATTGATCTATAAGTTATTTCAAGGTATCATCTTTACACCCATTTGATGGAACGATATTATGCTCCGCTATCAGACCCAAAGCACTATAAAATATTATACCCTCATCTCTTATCTCTCTCGCCAACTCATCATTCTCTCATTTTCCTCATTCCCCCCATTATTCATTTAAATTTCTCGCTCTCCGGCAAGCCGCAGCATCAGATAGAGCGCGAAATATGTACGTGCATATGTATGTATGTAAATACAAATTATTCGTATTTTTTTAAAATGATTAAAAGTGTAGCGACAACGTCAACGGGAAAACATTTGCACAACAGCCACAGGGAGCGAACCGGACTGGACCGTACCGTACCGGACTGCACATAATGTGGATACAATCGATATTCCTGCGTGCATTGACCATATTATTGGTCAGTTGGGTAAGCCGAGTCAGACAGCCACTCCACTCCACAGCGACAGATCTCCATACAAACACTTTCGATTTGCAGCTGGGACACGTCATCTGCCAGTCTGATGACTCTCATCTGCTGCTGTCTGGCCAGGAAGGCGAAGGACAGCCGGCCAAAGCCGAGTTTCCCGTCTGGGATGATGCACAGGGCGAGTGGCAGGACCCGGCCGATTAGTGAGTGTTACTTGCGGATGATTCTAGTTAAATTCTAGGAAAAAATGTCTACATGACATTGATATTTTTCAACTATACGTATGCAACGTATTTATTGTGCAGCAAAAAAGCATGCAACACTTTTGGGGCATTTCCAGTCGTTACAAAATTTCATAGCATAATTATTAAAAAAATAGAATCAGACAAATAAATCAATCCGCTGCCCAGCGAATAATTTGAGAGGTTTTAAGACGGGCTAGTCCTAGCCAGAAAACACAATAAAACAAGAGGACTATGGCACTATCCCCAGTGCAAATGAATTTGTGGGGCTGTGAATTGAAGAGATGCACAGAAAGGAGCGACCAGAAGCCTGATTCAAGCAAAGAGTTTGCTTGGACTAACCACTTTTAATCGGCTAAAATGATATGTTCATTGAAAATGCATTGAAGTTATGGAAAATGGATGCTTTCCAACTATTAAAGTTAGTTGCAATAACACTATAAGCTGGCTACTAATTTCATCTATGATAAATGAAAGTACTGCTGGCAGCATCTAAAAATCCATCAACTGGAACGAAAGTAAGAGTATAAACCCATGAAATTCTTGTTCACATGCAGTGCTGACAATTTTTGTTGGCAACATGTATGTACAGTGTACACGTACCTGTGAGAAAAGGGAATGGAGCCAATTTGAAGTTCAATTTCCTGCCCCCATCCCCAATTAGAGAAAAGTGGTTGTCCGGCAAAAAAAAATGTTTCGTTTCTCTCCTTTTGGCTTCATGCAATTTTGCATGAAAAAAATTGTCGTGCCCCTGGTCAGCAAATGAAGGCTTTCACTCTTTTTGAATGGTAAATCCCTTGCCGAATACGTTGACGAATTAGAGCGCGAAATCTACATAGAAACTTGTTGAACTTTGCACTGGAAAACTGAATCGCTTAGGGGCTGCAAATGAAATCAATTTTGCCACAGTTCAATGGACTTTTACGACAAGTGCGTGTCAGTTGAATGAAAAAATAATTGCGACCATTAAAAGTCAGCCAGCCAGCCCCGCAATCAAGGAGAGGTTGCCCCGGGTAGCCATGCCCATGCCCGTACCCCAAGCCGGTAACTGGAACATACCGATTCCGCAGTCGGCAGTTTTTCTGTTCCGTTTCGCGTTTCCCAGTTCCAATCCCAGTTCTAGGCACTCAATGAAATGGGAATTAGCCAGGAACTGCGCCCGCATTAATGGCCTCCGATTGAGTCCCTGGAATCGGGGCTATGCCTCGAGGTGGAATCGAGGCGGTGGCAGCTTTGACACGCTTCCAAGTGCCGTTTGCTCTGCCTCTCCGCCTAAGCGCTATCAATGCGATTTGGCCCAGGCACGCGAGGAAACTTTTCCGCTGCAATGCATCGGCTGGGAGCCGTAAGAATCGAGTCCTTTGGCTGCGGCATAGTAATTGCGTTAATTTTGCTCGAATTACGTTTCACATCATCAAATTGTTTCTGCCACTAGCCACGCCCAACGCCCCCTGCTGCTGTTGTTACTCTCCGTGTAAGTGTCTCGGTCTCTATCAGGGTTTGCATGTTTGGCGGCACTTTTGAGGATCTGTGCCCGGCCTGCTCTAACCCACTTTCCCCCACTCTGCCACGGGGGTGCCCTGTGCGGCAGTTGCATGTCGGCAGCATAATTGTTTTGGCTTACAATTTCATACAAATTAAAGCAGGCTCGTTTTTTTCCTTTGATATGACAAGTGCATGTCACCCGACAAGTTCCAGTCGCCCCCAAGCAACCACCAGCCACTGACTCACCCAGCCAACCAGCCACCCTCCCACTGGCAGCTCCACCAGCCATCCACTACCGACCCTCAGCGGAGTACATTGACTCAGCTCTAGTAATTACACATAATTCAGGGTTTCGACCAACGTGCTTGACCCTCACTGCGGCTGGTGACATGGAGAGTCCTCCTCCAAGAAGGGTCAGCAATAAGGTATAGACGGATCGCACTCAGAGTATGAAGGCTGCCATAAGGGAGTTGTCTTAAGAAGTACGAGTATTATCCACGTGGCCCACTGATATGCCAAACACCCAAATTCATTCAGTTTTCGCTGTGCCCACAGCGGCCACATCAGCGGCCGCAGCAGGGCTGAGATTTATGATCATTTTGCGGGCACAGCGCTCACCAATAAATAAGTGAGCTCTCTGATAAGATATGACTTGCTTATAAGTAGCTGGGGCTACTCCTAGTGCTTCCAACTCTCGCACAGATACTCACTGTACCTGTGTCTATAAATGTGTCTATAAATGTGTGGGTCAGCCGTATCTCGCAGCCAAATCAATGGCCCATTCAAGGTGCAGACGTGTGCAAGTGGCAGACGAGCCCCAGCCGCACCTTGGTATGGAGCTATTTGAAATACACAATCAGAATTTGTCGACTACGAAGATATAATTAAAAACTCATCCCAAGTAATCTTCGCGCTAGCGACTACCCTACACACATATCTGAAACCTAATCAGTCACCCATTTAATCACTAAACTAACAAACAGGCAGGGCAAAGAGTCAGCAATAACAGAGAGGTCTCAGAGAGATCAAAAATCAGTTGGCAAATGGCGACCTTTGTCCCAATGTACGAGATAGCTTTCGGAACGAATTTATCAAAAATTATTATTAGTTTATAGTATAAGCAGAGAGAGACATTAAATTTTGATAGAGCTTTGGGCAGGAATGGAATGGAGGAGGAATGGAACCGAGTCGGTAGCCGCTAGTCAGTTCGATAACGGCTCGCTGGGCGTACGGTTGTGTCATCTGAGACGGGGATCTGCGACGATTCGACTTGCGGTGCTATCTTTGAGGTGTGCGAAGCTCATTTGAATTCAAGCCAAGAGCTAATTGCGGCAGTGGGCAGAAATGAAGTGCCTGATAGTGTTCGGGCTGATTGTGGCCGTGTTCGGAGCCTTTGTCGGCTACGGCTATTTGGTGTTCACCGAGCTGACGCGTCCGCTGCCGAAGCCGGAGATCAGCGACAACACGTACTGGGGTCCCGGCGACGGCAAGGGCTATGTGCCCGACAAGCGGATCAACGAGTTCCGTGTGAATGTGCCACAGGCGGAGATTGAGGATCTGCGCCAGCAGCTGAATCGCACCCTGCGCCTCACCGATCCACTCGACGGCATTTCGTTCGAGTACGGGTTCAACGCCTATGCCTTGGACCAGTTTGTTGAGTACTGGCGGGACAAGTATCTGACCAAATGGGATGAGCGCCAGGAGGTGTTCAACAAATTCAAGCAGTACACCACCGACATCCAGGGGTTCGTTCGTATGTCCTTTCGCAACTTGTTCTGCAACTTACTTTAATTGCTTGCAGCCTGAACATTCACTTTATCCGCGAGAAGGCCAGCGAGGAGGCAGCTGCCAGGAAGCATGTCTACCCGCTGCTGCTGCTCCACGGCTGGCCAGGATCGGTGCGCGAGTTCTACGACATTATTCCCATGCTGACCAACGACCAGAACGTGACGGATTATGCCTTCGAGGTGGTGGCTCCCTCCCTGGTGGGCTATGGATGGTCTGATGTGAGTTCATTATCCTCCCAACCAGCTATATATCTTTGCTGATCTATTGCCATGCATAGGGTGCCAGTCGTCCCGGCTTCAATGCCGCCGAAATGGCCACCGTCATGAGGAATCTGATGCTGCGTCTGGGCCACAAGAAGTTCTTCATTCAGGGCGGCGACTGGGGCAGCATCATCGGCAGCAACCTGGCCACCCTCTATCCGGATAACGTTATCGGCTACCACTCCAACATGTGCGTCCTCAACTCGCCCCTGGCCATCCTTAAGGGCATCTATGGCACCTACTTCTCGGAAAAGATTATACCCTCGCGATTCTTCTACGACCACCACTTCCCCGTGTGGGACAAGTATGCGGAGCTGCTGCGGGAGAGCGGCTACTTCCACATTCAGGCCACCAAGCCGGACACCATTGGTGCTGCACTCACCACCAGTCCGGTGGGCCTGGCCGCCTACATTCTCGAGAAGTTCCAGTACTGCACCAATCCGGGCATGCAGCAGGACTTTGGGGCCATTGTCACCGTCTTTGGCCTCGAGCCGGTGCTGGACAACCTCATGGTCTACTACCTGACCAACTCGATCACAACTGCGGTCCGTTTCTACGCGGAGAACGTGTCCAAGGCGTACCGCGATCTGCAGCTGGACCGAGTGCCCACGCCCGTTCCCATGGGCTGTTCCCGTTTCCGCTTCGACCTGCCCTCCGTCACAGACTGGCAGCTGCGCGACAAGTTCCCCAACCTGAAGCACTCCATGTACTTCCAGCAGGGCAGCCACTTTGCCGCCATGGAGATGCCAGCCATGCTGTACCAGGACTTCACTGCCTTCGTTGGCAAGATCGGTCTCCACGGTGAAAAGCCAAAATAAAGTAGTTTTTTTGTACCTATTATTAGCAAAGATGAATATGAAGTTTTATAGTGGAATGGGCTATATAATCTACATATATGGGGTTCGTTTCTCGAGGAAATCAAAGTCCATTGATCATGGAATGCCAGCACAATCATTGATTCAATTGGTTCAATCCTAAGCAAAGTTCTTAGTCCAAACAAAAAAATATCATTAAATACATACGAGTATACATACATATGTATTTACGATCTAAACTAAAGCAAAACAATCCGTAGAAGTTGATAGTATCAAAATGAAAGCTGCCATCGATCGCTTTGTGTACGTGTATCAGCTGTCGCGAATTGGAGCTTTCGCAGCCTGTTGACAGTTCAAGTTGTGCGTGTGAGTGTTCATAGTCCATCCACCCATGAATAAATAAATAGCTAGTGTCCACACGCAATGACAATTGATAATTGAAATTCTAGATCGTTTCATTTCATAGCGTTATCCATTACCATTCTAAGCATGAATTGCCTGCCTGCCTGCCTGTGCCCAAGCTTTTTGAATAATAGCGCCTCATCATGCTCGCACTGCAGGCGCAGCTGCGATTGCAAAGCTCAAAACAGCAGCCACGCATTCCACACAAAATCCACAAGCCGGCCGGCCAAAGCTTTCGTGCGCACTGTGTTTGGCAAACTACAATTATTTCTGTGTGGCGAGCCGCGACGATCGGCTGTGAAATTGAAAGTAATTTATGTGCCTAAATAATTGCGCATAATGTCGAATGTATTTGTACGATTCCTGATCGGAGGCCTTGCCATGTTGGCCGCCGTAGGGTACAAGAACTACCGCGATCTGTCGGCGCCCGGCAAGCGGCCCGATCTCGACAACAATGCCTACTGGGGACCACAGCTAAGCAAACAGAGCAACAAGGAGAACAAGGCCATCTTGCCGTATGACATCACCGTCAATCCAGAGGTAAGGGACCATTGATTTGTGTACTTCTATCCGATCTGACTGTGATACTTTGAACCCCAGGTAATAGCCGATCTGAAGAGCCAGCTGAGTCGTCCGCTGAAGCTACAGGCACCGCTGGAGGGTGTGGGCTTTGAGTATGGATTCAATGCGAACGAGCTGCAAAAGGTGGTGCAATACTGGCGAGACACATACCTGACCAACTGGAGTGAGCGAGAGGAGTATCTGAAGAAACTGGATCACTTCCAAACCGAGATACAGGGGTGAGTAGTAGATGAAGCAACGCAGCAGCTGCCTTGATCGCAATGCTCGTAGAGTTCCAACGAATGAGCGAGTGCGCGCTTCATGCATATTTAGTTTGGAATTTGGAACGCATTAACATTTGAAATTGCTAACCTCTGTGGCCCCTTTTTGCAGATTGAAAATTCACTTTATTCATGCCAAGCCGAACAAGGAAGCCGTAAAAAAGGGCAAGAAGGTGCTGCCCCTCCTCTTGATGCACGGCTGGCCGGGCACTGTGCGCGAGTTTTACGATTTCATTCCCCTGCTGACCACAGCCAGCGACAAGAGTGACTACGTCTTCGAGGTGATTGCGCCCAGTTTGCCGGGCTATGGATGGTCTCAGGTAGGTCGAAGAAGGAAACACATTCCACTGGATATCTCATCAATGATTAACTCTCATCCTCCTCCTGCTTTTAGGGCTCATCAAAGACTGGCTTTGGCGTGGCCCAGGTGGCTGTGGTGATGCGTAATCTGATGCTCCGTCTGGGCTTTGAGAAGTTCGTTGTGCAGGGCGGTGACTGGGGCTCGCTGATAGGCTCCAATTTGGCCTCGCTCTTCCCGGAGAATGTGCTCGGCTATCACTCGAACATGTGCGGCAACAACAGTCCCATGGGCAACCTGAAACTGGCGCTATCCTTGGTCTTTCCCAGCTGGTTCGTCGACAACCAGTTCGCGCATTTTTACAAGGGCTTTGGTGGCATCTTCTCCATCATGATGGAGGAGATGGGCTATGCCCACATCCAGGCCAGCAAGCCGGACACTATTGGCAACGCTTTGATCGATAATCCCATTGGCCTGGCCTCCTACATCCTGGAAAAGTTCTCCACGTGGACGAATCCCGCGTTCATGACGCTGCCAGATGGCGGCCTCACCAAGCGCTTCACCTACGACCAGCTGCTGGACAACGTCATGATCTACTATGTAACCAACTCCATCACCACCTCCGTGCGCCTCTACTCCGAGTCGATGAACAAGGCACAACTTGGCCTGGCTGTCGACTCCCTGCCCATTACGGCCAAGACTGGATGCACTCGTTTCGCCCATGAAATCGCCCACTTCCCAGACGGCGTGCTGGCCAACAAGTTCCCCAATCTGGTGCACAGCACCCACTTCCAGGACGGCGGACACTTCCCGGCCTTCGAGTTGCCGCAGCAGCTGTACGAAGACTTCACGGCCTTTGTGCAGAAAGCCGAACTCTGATCGAATATCCGATCCGTATTCGCCTGGAATGCAATAAATACGCTTATGTTTTTCTCTGTTCAAACAAAACTCGGTTTTTGAATTTAAACTAAACCCAAACCACTATCCATATATAGATAGCATTTTCCTTATCTCATTTGAAAACCGAAAGTTGAAGAGCTACACGCATACACACAAAGGGTTTGTCCCTACAAATTTATTTTATGTATTATCTCTGCCCGGACAACTCTTGCATAATACACATATGTATGTGGAGATGAGAATACTTTAGAAATGGTCGATCATTGTATGCTGTCAATCAAAGTACCCCCAAGCCAGTCTCAGATAGGGGAGTAGCCTCTACATGTGCGAAGGGGGTCCGTCTGCGTTACTGCTGCGTCGCAAAATATCATCATTTAGGGGCGACTCTCTCTAAAGCTCTCCCTCTCCTCTCTCTCTCTCTGTCAAGCGAAAGCTCTATCCGTAAATCAACAAACAAAGCAAATGCCTAGGCTTTAACGTTCCGTAAAGCCGCTACAGAGTCTTGAGTAGCTTCAAAGTACATCTAACACACGATAAGCCTTAACTGATCAACTGTTCGTGCGCCGGCGTAGAGCAATAGTTTGGCAAACAAAAATGCTTATCATCATGAGTTAAAAGTTCGAGAGCTGCGCCCACCACAATGATAGTCACGTTAGAGCTTGCAGCCTAGGAGAATTGACAGTCAGCATGCTACACTACAGTCTGTCCATTTGCTATAGTCTGATTAGGCGACGGCGGCAGCGGTCATTGTGTGTGGAACTGTGGCGGTATCAGGTAGTCGCTTTGTTATGTCCGTCACTGTGAAAATTCTGGTGCTGGTGCTGGCCATTGGCGGCGGCCTGGTCTATAAGAATGTCAGCCAACTGTGGGGAGATTTGCCGGCCCCGAAACTGGATGCGCAGCAATGGTGGGGCGATGAGGCGCAGCCCAAGGACTACGCTGCCTATCTGGCCAACAGTTCGGAGGTGATTGGCAATCGACTCAGCTATCCGGAGAAGGTAAGCTTCTAGGAAAGAGTGTAGAGTATATATTATAACAATCCCCTACACTAGACCATCAAGGATTTGTTAACCCGCCTGAATCGCACTCTCCGTCTGACTCCCCCACTGGAGGGCGTGGCCTTTGAGTACGGATTCAACACGAACTATCTAAAGGAAGTGGTGGAGTACTGGAGAGACGATTACCTGCCGCGTTGGCGCGAACGTGAAGTCTTCCTTTGGCAATTCAATCACTTCACCACCGATATTCAGGGGTGAGGAGATAAGCCCTTATCGCCAGAGCGACGAGCCCAATGATAATGTTGATTGACAATTTCAGGCTACGCATGCACTTCCTCCACCTGATGGTCTACGACGACAACAAGGTGGGCAAGCAGCACTATCCGGTGCTCCTGCTGCACGGCTGGCCGGGATCGGTCCGCGAGTTCTACGAAATGATTCACCTGCTCCATCAGTCCAATCTCGATAAGAACAACAAGTACATATTCGATGTGATTGTACCCAGTTTGCCAGGCTATGGCTGGTCCCAGGTAGGTTTCAGCCAAAACTCAAATATGCTCAATCGAATTATCTGTCTGTTTGTTCCTCCTCCAACAGGGAACTTCCCGTACGGGGCTTGGACCTGCCCAAGTGGCCGTGATAATGAGCAATCTTATGGCACGCCTGGGCTACGACAAGTACTTTATTCAGGGCGGCGATTGGGGCAGCATCATTGGCAACCACATGGCCACCCTTTTCCCGGATAATGTCCTTGGCTACCACTCCAATATGTGCACCACCATGAGTCCCAAGTCTAATGTAAAGGGCGCACTGGCCGGACTGTGGCCCAGTCTCTTTGTGCCCAGCGGCTTCGAGGACTTCTTCTTTCCCAAGTCACGCCACCTTAGCTATCTGATTGAGGAGAGCGGCTACTTCCACTTGCAGGCCACAAAGCCGGACACAGTTGGCGCAGCCCTCACCGATAATCCCGTCGGCCTGGCCGCCTACATTCTGGAGAAGTTCTCCACGTGGACCAATCCGAGCTACCGCTCCCTGGCCGATGGCGGCATTACAAAGCGCTACACGATGGACACGCTGCTGGACAATGTGATGATCTACTATCTGACCAACTCGATCACCACCTCGCAGCGCCTGTACGCCGAGGCATACAGCCAGGAGCACCGTGGGCTGCAGCTGGATCGGGTTCCCACTCCGGTCCCAACTGGGTGTGCCCGCTTCAAGAGCGATATCATGCACTTCCTGGATATTCAGCTGAAGGATAAGTTCCCGAACCTGATACACAGCACCTACCACAAGCAGGGCGGACACTTTGCTGCCCTCGAGGTGCCCAAAGTGCTGCACAAGGATTTCCTAGAGTTCGTCCAGAAGGTGGAACGGAAGTTTAAAATTAAGCCATTGTAATAATATTTTTTTAAAGATCAATAAAAGGGCCGCCTCTCTTCTGATATCGATAGCGGCAATCGATAGCACGAATATGTGAATATCATAGTATCCCTTCCCGTCACTGCATCCTGGAAAGGATGGAAAGCACTGGAAGGCAGTGGCAATCGAAAAAGTGGCGGCAGAAAGTAAGGACAAAGGAAACCAACGATAGTTAAATAAGTGCAAAAGGAAAATTGAAACCATTTTATGTGCGGAGTAGGCAGGCCCCATTCCATACAAGTTTTATACTCTCCGAATGTCATTTCTTCAGTAAATTTTCCTCGCTTGAAACACACACGATCCACATAGATCCAGACAACATATTTTCTAGTGAACAAAAACGGTAAAATCGAACAATGAGTGACCTTAAAATGACCGTGTCCCTGACCAGCGTCAACGGAGAGAACATGTCGCGCCATGACATGCTCCAATGGGTCAATACCATGGTGCAGGGCAAATTCAAAAAGATCGAAGAGCTCTGCTCAGGTGAGATACTACTCCAAGCGCTCTGACGATCTTCATACTCAGGTTCTAGGTCTTTCCCTTAGGTGTTGCCTACTGCCAAATGATGGAGCTGATCTTCCCCAGCTGCATCAACCTAAAGCGCGTGAAGATGAGCGCCAAGCTGGAGCACGAGTGCCTGCACAATCTCAAGCTGTTCCAGGGCGCCTTTACACGGCTCAAGCTGGACAAAACTGTGCCCATCGATCGCTTGATCAAGGGCCGCTTCCAGGACAACTTTGAGTTCCTGCAGTGGTTTAAGAAGTTCTTCGACTCGCAGGCTCCTGGCTTGGAGAACATCAAATCGGCGGCCAATGCGCCCATTCCGAAACCAATCAAGCCGCGCGTCTTCGTCAAGGGACAAGTCAGAACAGTTTCGCCACCATCTAGCGATATAGGGGCAGAGGACGATCTAGCCGTTAGGGACTTATTAAGAGAGGTAGAGACCTTGAACTTGAATACCATCAGCGCCATGGAGACACGCGACGATATCTATGGCAAGCTTCTTGAAATCGAAGTCCTGATGGACAACATGATAGAAGCCAAGAAGCACGTGGATTTCTGCAATCGCATCTGTGCCGTGCTGTACAAGACCATGGATGGCCAGGCCGCTACACAGATTCAGCCAAGCAACGGAAATGCCAATGGTAACGCCGTCTCCGACAGTGCATTGGTCACGCCAGAGCCTAATGAAGAGGATTGAGGCATTTTAGAGTGTCATTGTTGTTCTTATTTTATTTTGTAGCATTAAAGTATTAAAGTTATTGTGCATTAACTGTTCGAGTCATTATCCGAGGAGGAGTAGTCGCCCACCAGACTCAACGACTTTACAGGGGGAGACGGGGCTTCTTCGGACTGCTCCGCTTGCTTCCGCCGTATGCCCAAATCCTGCAGCTGCAGCTGTGCGTTGAGAATCTTTTGCCGCTTGAGGCCCCCGAAGGTTGTCGCTGTGGCTCCTGGCAATGCCGGTCGCATGAGTAGATCGAGACGCTGCTCTGATTCCCGCTCAATGGCAGATTTGGTTTGAAGCTTCATCAGTGCCGCCATTTGCCTGTCCTGGTCTGTTTCCGGCAGCAGAGCTACGTCGAGACTGATCTTGGCCAGCAGCTGGCGATCCAGGTCCTGCTGGCCCTTTATTTCCTTCTTTTGATGCCGGAATTCGGCCCGAAGGCGGCAGTTGGCCTCGTAGGTGTCGTCCCAGACGCTTTGGTTGCGCTCAAACAGCTTCTGGAGCACAGGCTTGGCGTCGGCGGCGGCTTTGGCATCCTTTGCCTGGTGCTCCAGCTTGTACATGGCGTCGTCGAAGAGCCGCTTCTGTACCTCCTTCGTTTCCGGCACAACCTGCTCATTTTGCAGCGGATCCCAGCGGTTCTCCTGCCGTCGCGCCCCCGATAGGATGGTGTAGTCAAGGTTGCCGGGATCCGTTTGGATCTCGAAGTGATTGTCGCACAGGTGGCACTTCATGCGGAACTTGTAGATCGGTGTGGTGTAGTACATGCCCACCTTGGTCTTCTCCGCATTGTAGCGCACCCCCATGCCGATGTGGTTCTTGCAGCCGTCGCACCAGATATTGTAGGGCATCTCAAAGCGGATGATGATGATGCCCAGGTGAATCTTCCGGGCGCGCTCCCGCAGGGCATGGGTGCCCTGGAATTTATTGAGTCCGCCCTTCTTGGGATCATAGTCGGGCGGATAATATTTATTTTGTCCCTTGCGTTCGCCCATTTCGCACGAATTTGTAAATTGTAAATAAAAACTTGGCTGCTACAGCTGTTTTAACGCGACTTTTGCAACACTGGTTTTTTTTCAGTGGTGACATCGGGCTAAGAATACTTGTGACTAAGGTAGTGACTAGTTCAGGAATAACGCACATCACTAATAAAATAGTTGACCATTTCGCGTGCGTGCGGTGCAGCAAAAATTCGTAGAATTGTTTGCCTTTTTGCCACGTAAATTGAATTAAAAGTAGTCGGATCTCGGCAAGATGATAATATACACAAACGAAGGCAATCCCCTGGGACTGCAGCTGCTGATGCTGGCCAAATTCGCCAAGCGTTCGGTTCAGGTGCAATTGGTTAACCTAAATGGTAAGTGAAGAACAACTTCCAGGGTGAACTCCGGCAGAGTGCGTGCACTATGACTAGCTATGAATAGTGACTGATGCAATAACTGGTTTCCGTTGCAGATGCCAAGTTCAAGGATTTGCTGATTCTGCCCACACTGGAGCTGGACGATGGACTGCGCCTGTTCTCGTCCGCGGCCATCGCCAAGTATCTGCTGGTGGATGAGGGTCAGCTGAGGGATGAGGTACGGAAGCAAGCATAATTGCGCCTAATTTAGGCAATGACCCCTCAAGGTCAAACCAATTCGTTTAACAATCTTTTGGTCATCTCCAACAGTGGCTGGAATGGGCGAGCACGTTGCTGGCTCCTGCCCTCGCCCATCACATGGCCGTGGGACATCGTGCCGACCCAAACTCTTTGCCGGTGCTGAATGCTCTGGTGAAGAAGCTGGACGATTGCCTCAAAGGTTCGCCTTACCTGGCCGGCGACAAGTTGAGCGCTGCTGACATCGCCGTCTGGGCGCTTCTCGCTCCGGATGGCACTCTCAAGGGTGCGCAGAATTTGGAGAGCCTGCACGGCTGGTATAACAGGGTGAAGGCGCTGCCCGAGGTACAGCAGGTGCTGGCCGAACAGCCGCTGAAGGAACTTACCTTCAATGCGCTGCAGCAGTCGAATCGCTATGGCGGACTACATCATGTGCCGCTGAAGCGTCTTAGCCTGGCGGATGCTGGCAAACTATTGGCCGAAGCAACATCCACAGTCGCGGACACCGTCACAGCTGAGGAATTGGCCGCAGCAGGCGCTGCCTTCACGTACACAGCCCCCAAGGATGTCCAGCATCAGCGCATAGTGCTACCAAAAGCAGGCGAACGCAATGTGCTCATCACTTCGGCCCTGCCGTATGTCAACAATGTCCCCCACTTGGGCAACATAATTGGCTGCGTGCTGTCTGCGGATATCTACGCACGCTACTCTCGCTCCGCCGGCTACAACACGCTGCTCATCTGCGGCACTGATGAATACGGCACCGCTACCGAGAACAAGGCCCTGGCCGAGAACCTGACGCCGCGGGAGATCTGCGACAAGTACTTTGAGCTGCACAATTCCATCTATCGCTGGTTCGGCATTGGTTTCGATTACTTTGGCCGCACCACCACCCAGGAGCAAACAGAGTGAGTGAATAATGTGAATCTGTCGCTGTGGCTGCGGATTGCTAAATAAGATTTTTATGATTTTGCAGCATTGTGCAGGAGGCGTTTAGGGATGTCAACAGTGCTGGCTACATCCTCACAGAGAGCGTGGAGCAGTTGCTCTGCCAGAAGTGCGACCGTTTCCTGGCGGATCGGTGGGTTTTCCGTGCCTTGCTTTCTTTGAATCTAATCTCTAAATTGAGCTTTGGTTTGTCTTTAGCTTTGTGGAGGGCACGTGTCCGCATCCTGGCTGCGGCTATGCAGACGCCCGTGGCGATCAATGCGACAAGTGCGGCAAGCTGGTGAATGCCACCGAACTGATCCGTCCACGCTGCAAAGTGTGCAACACAGCCCCCATCCTGCGTTCCTCGGATCAATTGTTCATCGATCTGCCCAAGGCTGAGCCCCGGCTCCGTGAGTGGGTGGACAAGGCGGAGAACGGCTGGACCAACAACGCCAAGGTGATCACGAGAGCCTGGCTGCGGGAGGGCCTCAAGCCGCGATGCATCACGCGAGATCTAAAATGGGGCATTCCTGTGCCCCACAGCGGCTTCGAGAAGAAGGTCTTCTATGTGTGGTTTGATGCGCCCTTTCGGATATGTGTCAATGACCAAGCGCTACACCAAGGAGTATCAGCAATGGTGGCAGCCGGCCAAGGGCACTGACGTGGAGCTCTTCCAGTTCATGGCCAAGGACAATGTGCCCTTCCATTCGGTGGTGTGGCCCAGCGTGCTGCTGGCCATCAACAAGGGCCACACGCTCGTGTCGCACATCATGGCCACCGAGTATCTGAACTACGAGGACGGAAAGTTTAGCAAGAGTCGCGGAATCGGAGTCTTTGGCAACGATGCCCAGGATACGGGCATTCCCGCAGATGTCTGGCGCTTCTATCTCGCCTCGGCTCGACCAGAGGGCCAGGACTCCAGCTTCAGTTGGAACGATCTGGCCGCGCGCAACAACTCTGAGCTCCTCAACAATTTGGGCAACTTTGTCAATCGTGCGCTGGTCTTCTGCGAGAAGAACTTTAACAGCACCGTTCCCGAGGTGGTCGCCACGGAGGAAGAGCTCATTTTGCTGGCCCTTGTCAACCGCGAGCTGCGTGGATACATCAACTCCCTGGAGAAGGCCAAGCTGCGCGATGGCATTCGCCATCTGTTGGCTATTTCCCGGCATGGCAATGGTTATATGCAGACACAGCAACCGTGGGTGCTCCTCAAGGGCAGCGATGACCAAAAGCAGCGCGCCGCCACCATCATTGCCCTGTGCGCCAACATTGCCTGTCTGTTGGCCAACCTTCTCTTCCCCTACATGCCCTCCACGGCACGAACCCTCTTTGCCCAGCTCAACGCCAAACAGACGCCGCTCAATGCAGAGTAAGTAAATGGCCCAGTGCCTCATCAAAGATCTTACTTAAACTGTGTGCCACTCATTATTTAGGAAGCCCTTGGCCACCTTGCTACTCCCCGCTGGACACAAGATCGGAAAGCCCGCGCCTCTCTTTGCCAAACTGGAACAGTCCTTCATTGATGAGCTCAAGGCTAAGTATGGCGGATCCCAGGACACGAGAGGAGCTGCGGCCGTGCAGAGCCAACCAAGCACCGCAGACCTGGAGCAGGCCGTGCAGGCTCAGGCCGATAAGGTGCGACAGCTTAAGACGAGCACCAAGGACAAGGCAGTGTGGCAACCAGAAGTCAGCAAACTGCTAGACCTGAAGAAGCAGCTGGAAGAGGCTAAGAAAACCGCTGCGTCTGCGCCAGCCTCTGCTCCTGCGCCATCGATTGGTGCACAGTCAGTGCAGGAACTGGAGAAGGCCGTACAGGCACAGGGCGAGAAGGTGCGAAACCTGAAGGGCAGCACAAAAGACAAATCGGCCTGGCAGCCAGAGGTGAATGTGCTGCTCGATCTGAAGAAACAGCTGGAGGCTGCTCAGAAGGCAGCCAAAGCGACTCCCGCAGCTCCTGCTGCTGCAGCTGCTACACCTGCCGCCTCGGCGTCGGCAGATGCAGGCCAGGTGAAAGCATTGGAAGACAAACTTGCTCAGCAGGCAGAAAAGGTACGAACCTTAAAATCCCATGGGGATGCGTCTGTGTGGAAGCCCGAAGTTGATATACTCTTGGCCCTGAAGAACCAACTGGCGGCTCTAACTGGAGCACCGGCAGCTGGCGGACAGAGCAAGGGCAAGAAGAAGAAGTAAGGCATAGAAATAATCCATAAATATGCTGGACATTTTTACCTCAACTTTCTAATCACGCATTCGTGGACTGGCAGAGTGCCAAGTCGTTTTGCTTAATTTATTTGGTTTGCATTTAACAAACTTTGTATGTATTTATTTGAATTGTACCCAGAATTCAGTTAGTAATTTATTGAGTTTGCGAAAGAAAAATTAAATCTATTGACTTTCATACACAAATGGGCTTGGAGTTTAATAGAATATTTGCTACAAAAATACTGTTTCAAATTAAACTCTAAAACATTGATAACGATAATTTGGAGTCGACTACGAATCGACTATCGACTACTAATCGGCTACTTAAAAATACTCGTGACGAGTCACTGAGAGAAAACATAATCAATAGGCCATCTCTAGCAAGTTACAGCAAAAAAATTTGCCATGTAAAAAAACAACACAAAAACACAAGAAGTGCGATATTAAATAATGTGAAATGTATTAAAACCAACAAACGAAAGCTGTGGTATGTGCACCATCAATGCCAAATGCAATAAGCCAAGCGATGTAACCGTAATATATGAAGGCGAAAACAAACACAGACAAGTCTATCTCTTTCTGTCTGAACGAACTCCCCTTCGCCATCGTCACGCGCACCCGTTCTGTCCCTCTCCCCGTTGGCCCAAGCAAACAGCAAAAATTCGTCATCAGCTGGTCTCTAGTCTGCCAACAGTCGCTGCATTTCATTCAGATCGGAGAGAGAGGAGAGAGCGACTTGGACAAAATACACTTTATCCTGCCACGCATTGTGGCCACATTTACGTCGGTTCGAATTAATTCTCGAGAACTGTCGATAACAAATTGAAAATTTAAATATTGTACGCTGAACGGTACGGGGGTTAACAAGGTGAAATTTGAAATTGGTTTAGAAACTCAATTAAGCGAAACGTGTGTGTGGTATGTGCTGTGTGGCGCTGTGTGTGCATCTAGGGTAGGAATAATCGGCCAACAAAGAAGCCACCCGTGCCCGTGCCCCATCCCGTTTCAATTCCCTTTCCCCAGTTACGACAACTGCATTTAGCTCATAGACCACATCCCCCTCCACACGCCCCCTTGTGTGGCCAGTTGGCTTAGCAAGTGCTCCGGATGCCACACTTTTCCAATATGCAGAGGAGCTGGGGGAGCGTTTTAAAATTGAAACAACTGTATGGCCATAAAGAATTCAAACCCAAGGACACGCGACACGACGCGAAGCGACACGATGACGACCACCCCACCACCACCAATCACGACGAATCTGACTCCGACGACGGCAACAAGTGTTTGTGTTTGCTTTTTGTTAATTGCTATTGATTATTCGCTTTTTGTGCCTTTGTTTTGCAGTGCTCCGACTAAGCCAACGACTCAATCTTGAGAGCAATTATCTTGAATACCGAATAGCCGAATAGACTGGCAAAAGACGTCGCCATGGAGTCTGCAGACGCACTCATGGAGGAGCAGAAGCTCATGGCCGAGGCCAAATACCGCAACTACATGACAAACATCGACAAAGCGCTGCGCAATTTCGAATACTCCAGCGAGTGGGCGGATTTGATATCGGCGCTGGGCAAACTTAGCAAGGTATTGAATCACCCAACTCCAGCACTGCACAGCCCAAGGGGCTTTTATCGCACCCCCCGATGTGGCAACTGAGATATGACCGGGTCGCAGCTGAGCTGCGTCCGCTGAATCACCACGTTTTCCGGGCGCGGGACCAATTCTTATCTCTTCTAGGCTTTTTTTTCACTGTAAAATTTGTTTTTTTTTGCTCTTTACTTTGGCAGGCAATATCAAGCAATACGCAGTATCAGGTCATACCCAGACGCCTGAAGATAGCCAAGCGTCTGGCCCAGTGCATGCATCCCGCCCTGCCATCGGGGGTGCATCTGAAAGCCCTTGAGACCTACTCGGTGATATTCAGCAAGACTGGACCCGAGCGTCTAGCCACAGAGTTTATTTACAGGTGAGTATTCAGCAGAGCACTGCCCGAAGATTATTCTCTAATTGTCGTGCTTCTGCTTCTGCACTTCCAGCGCTGGCCTGTTCCCCCTGCTGGGCTATGCCGCCATGAATGTGCGGCCCGCTCTGCTGGCCATCTATGAAACGTATTTTGTGCCGCTCGGAGACAAGCTGCGGCCTGCTCTGAGTGGTTTTCTGAACGGTGTCCTGCCCGGCTACGACTGCGGGCTGGACCACTTTGAGCGGATAAGTGCGCTGCTGAAGCAAGTGTGCAATGCCGTCAATCCCATGCACTTCTACACGGTGCTGTGGGAGTCGGTGGCCAACAATGCTGCGATCCGTCTGCCAGCCATCACCTATCTGCTGGAGCATTTCAACAAGCGGCTGGACATGCAGGAACAGATCTATGTCATGGGCCACAATCGGGAGATAATGATGTCGGCGCTGTGTGCCTGTTTGAACGACTCCCTGATCCTGGTGCAGCGCAATACGCTGGAGTTCCTGCTCCTTGGGTTTCCCATGCACACGGCACTGCTGGCCGAAGATGATCTGGTCAAGTTGGTGACCAACGGCCTCAATACAATACTGAGACGCGATATGTCGCTGAACAGGCGACTGTTTAGCTGGCTGCTGGGCAGCGAGGTGGCCAAGAATTCGCCCACCTATGACACCCTCTCGCTGGACGCCTCGGCAGCGCCGCTGGACGAGCAACCAGTGCCGTACTTTGTGAAACATTCGAGGCACATACTGATCCGGGCCCTGATCACAACGCTGCGGCTGAGTCTGGAGTGTGCCCCCATGGACCTGAAGCCGTATCGGATAATGTTGTCGCTGCTGGACAAGGCAGAGATTGGCAGCGCTGTCCTGGACTATGTCCTGCACGACATCATACGTGCCATGTACATATCCAGCGGTAATCCGGAGGCTCTCAAGTCCGCCAACCTGCTCTTTGCCACCTTCGATCCGGCCTACATCTGGAGCTACATGACCAACATGTTTGAGCGGGCCTGCCAGCAGGCAAACTCCTCGCAGGACAAGCAGGAGAAGACGCACTCGCCTGAAGTCGATAAATTTGCCTGCGAGGTGGGCTCTGGCGATCCGTGTGTGCTGGAGATTTGCGTGCTCACCGAGTTCCTTCTGGAGACCGTCTCCCTGGAAATGTACACGGAGACGACGCGCGTCTATCTGCCCAAAGTGTTCCTGGCCATCACCCAGCTGATGTCCCTTCACATGGATCGCGTGACTAGCAGCGAGATAACCGCCTCCCTCAAGCTATGCATGAAGATCGTCTCTAGGGTGCAGCCCATGATAACGTAAGCGAAACAAAAGAACACACATGATGATGTTGTTCGTTTGATCTTTGGTAACCTATTCGTATTCCTATCTGTATTCTGTTTGCCTTCCACAGAAGTCCCATTAAACTGAACAAACTTATGGAGCAGTGTGCGGGCTCCTCATCGGACGAGAAGATTACAGTCGATGCGGTGGCCATCGACAGTGCTAAGAAGGGGGTGCCGGGCACCCATACACAGGGAAGCTCCCTGGAGAAGAGCAAGTCGGACTCGCGCCTGAATCAGTTTGCGGAGAACTCGCTGCAAAGCGCAGATCCAAACGACGAGGAACTCATACGACGCTCGGCCTCCAATCAGAGCGTGGGACGGCAGAGTCCCAGCAAGAAGAAGGCCAAGTCCATTTCACGTCTCTCTGAGCTGGACAAGGATGTGAGTTTTCCGTATAACGAGATTTATTGAAATAATTGTAATTGCTATATAAACGATTCCTCGTTCACAGATAAGCGCCTCGGACACGGGCCAGCAGTCGTCCTCGGACCTAGACACTCCTCGGAGCATCAAGAAGCTCAAGGCCAAGGCAAAAGTGCCCTTCATACGTAGTCCCAAGAAACAGCGACCCAAGGACATTGTGCTGGTGCAGTCCGCAGCCGTCACTGATGTCGCTGGGAATGGCCATGATGCCGATGAGCCAAAGAGCGCCCCACCCGACCAATCGCCACAGTTCTATCTGGATGAGGAGAGCCGCGCCACCCAACAGCGAGGATTCTCCATACTGGAGAAATGCATCCGGCAGTACGAGATCTTTTTCGAGGTATACGTGGCCCGCAAACTGCTACAAATCGAATCGGATGGCACGTCGGAGTGCTCGGTGAAGGTTCAGCTGCAGCGCAGCACCAGCTCCCACAGTTCGCACACCTCCAGCCTGTTCATGGTGGAGCAGGTGCTGGAGTATGAGTGCCCCATCCGTGAGTCACAAATCGAGCGTCTGTTCAATCTGCTGCGCGTGGACAAAGTGCCCCGCTCCAAGCAACTGCAGCGACTGCTCAATCACTCCCTGCCACTGCTGGCCAGTGCCAGCGAACTAAGCAGCGACAGCGAAGCCACGGAGGCACCGGAGAGGCAGCAGCAGGAGCAGAGCCTGCTCATCGATGCCCAGACGCAGCGCAGTGTCCAGCAGCTTGCCGAACTGCAGCTGAGTCTGAGCATGCGCGGAGCCGTCAAACTGGCGGCCACATTGCTGGTGGAGATGTCCACGTTCCCCAACTGCAACAAGCACATTGTGCTGGACAAGAGCGGTGAGTGGTGGTATAGCACTTTCATAGAGAGCAATCTCCTTTAATGTTGATTCTCCTTTAGAGCCGGAGTTGCCGAATTGGCTGAAGGTCTTGTGTCTGGTGGCCTGCTTTGCCCAAAGTGACAAGGAACTGCAGGTGTCGGCCATCACCACGCTCTTCGATCTGATCAGGTAAGCGATCATGCGATCATGCGCTCCATAGTTTAATCCCGACTTATGCACATTTTCCCCGTAGCTTATTGCGCTCGCAGATCGAGCACACAACGAGTCCGGGAGTCACCTTCGTGGTGATGCTGCCGCTGCTAAAGTTCGGCCACGTCAGCTACATGGAGCAGCAAACGCGAGTCTTTCAGCTGGTGAGCTCCATTCTGTGGGACTACCTGGGCGCCGCCTGCACGGATCCGGCCCAAACTGCGGCGCTGCTGCATCAGCTGCACAGCTGCCTGGAGAGCGGCCTGGTGGAGACGGTCATTGGCAATCGAATGCAGGCGCAGCATCTGCTGCAGGTGCAGCCTATACCTGGCTGTGGAAGAACCGCTCTGCGCAGCTTCCAGCTGGAGCGGCTGGGCGACGCCCAACTGCTGTGCCCCACCGAGTCCACCGAGCGGCTGAGGGAGAGCCAGGCGCGCAGCTTCAAGAAGTTCGAGTTGCTGTGGCATCTGGGCAGGGACAAGCAGACGTCGCGGGGATTCGAGAAGACCCTGCTCAAGGTGCTGGACACCTTGGGGCTGCCCCACTACATGTCCGAGCGGACATTTGTGACCAACTGGCTGCAGGCCTCGCTGCTGCGCGGAGATCTAGCGCGTCTGACCAAGCCGCTCTACAAGATTCTCCTCTCGGCGAACTCGAAGCGGGTGGGCATCGTCCACATGCAGCAGCTGTATCGCGAGTCTGCCGAGGCCGAGGGAGACACTGCGCCAGCCTTCGAGCGGGATGTGTACGCCATCAGCTCGGAGCAGGGAAACGTCAAGTATCACCACATGGAGACAACCAGCGGGGCCAAGAAGAAGAGCCCCATCAGAAATTTACCCAAGAAAATCTTCGGTGTGACTCTGAGCGGTGGAAAGACGAACAAGACGTCCAACTTTGTGAGCGACAAGACGGCCATGGCCACGGAGGCAGCCCAGGATGTGAACACCATTGGCCTGATCATCAATCCACTGGAGAATGCCACCGACTTTGACGACGAAACGGATCTGGAGGAGCCGCGCATCGAGATTCCCCACAAAGAGACACCGCTGGAGCAGAAGCTGGCCTGTGCCATGGACGAGAGTGATCAGACATCCCAAGAGCAGACGCCGCAGCAGCAGCAGCAGCAGCAGCTGGATCAGTCGTCGCACCTTGACCAGGACATAACCGACAACTCCGAGAGCAGCGACTTCGAGTCGGACTCGGAACTGCGCGAAACAAGTCTGGAGAAGGAGGACAGCCTTACGGTCAGCTCCAGTGCCGGGGTCGGCGATGATGTCAAGCGATTCGTGGGCGACTGCGAGCGGGTCACTGAGGCCCTCACCCAGCACGAGAAGATCAAGAGTCGCAAGACGTATCGCCTGACCCGAGAGAAGACTCCCGGCGAGACCAGCCTCAACTCTGTGGCCACAGACCAGACAGAGCACAGCCTGACGGACTTGCACGCGGATGCCCTGCCAGCGGATGAGTACTTCCGCGAGGACAAGAAGCAGGACAAGGGCAAGCGCAAGAAGCTGCTGACGAGCAGCGACAAGAAGAGGCTGAGCTGCATATCCAAGACATCGACGGACAGCAACCTCAGTGGCTCCTGCTCCCAGGTGGAGCCAGCTCCAGAGAGTGAGCCTCAGGGCGAAGAGGAAGCTGCCACTGCCACAGACTCCACCATCAATGTGGAGGACAAGCGACGAAATCTCAGCCTGGAGACTAGCAAACTGCAGCCCGACTGGCAGAAGACTCTGGAGAAGGGCAAGCAGAACGTGGAGATCCTTCGCCAGAATGCAGCGGCGGCTGCTGCCGCAGAGGAGCAAACCAGTCTGCGGAGCTCAATGAAGAGCAGCAGCTCCCTGGCCGACGCGGCCCATCTGTACCACAACCACTTGCTGCTCTACTTGGCCATCTACGATACGCGCCAGACCCTCTACGCCCTGCAGACGCTGCGCAACATCATCTGCTGCGACAAACGCACCTTCCTCTGCCTGTCCATCACCACGTCGTTCTCGAGCGCCAGCCTGAAGCAGCTGCTTGTCCGACACCGCAAGAGCATCTCCGGCAAGGGCTTCGAAGGCAGTGTGGGCAACTCCGAGTACGCCCAGGGCTATCGCGGATGCATGCAGCTGGAGCTGCTGGTCACGCTGTGTCTGTTCTATGCCCGCGGCTACTTCCAGCGCGAGTCGCTGGACGCCCAGCGGCAGCCGCCCACGCTGCAGGATATTGTCAATAACCGGAGGATCCAGTTGGAGAGCATTGAGCTGCTGACCCTGATTTGCACAGAGCTAATTGAAATCGTAAAGGGAATGGGCAGAGGCCTGGCATGCTACATCGCCGATCTGCTGGCCCGCGCCAAGCTGCAGAAGGTCATGCTGCACTGCCTCAACAGCTCCGTGTGCAGCTACGGCCGCAGGGCACCCACCGGCAGCTACGCCGAGCAAGTGCTCAGCTTCAACGATCCGCAGGACGATCAACTGCACGCTGACTGCTTTCAGCTGCAGCTGCTGCGCCTGCTCCTGTCTGTGATCCGGCTTGAGCACGAGGTGCACCAGCTGCGGCAGGACACGCCGCCCGCGGCTGGCGAAGAATCTACGGGCAACGCCTCGCCCACCCGTCTGGCAGAGGGAGCGGCAGCCAATGTCAAGTATCTGCCCAACTGCCTGATTAGCCAGCAGCCCATGTTCCTAGCCGCCGTCTTGGGCGCACTGCAGCAGGAGCGGCTGCGTCACCTGCACCGCAACTGGACGGACCTGGTGACCTCTTCGCTCAACTGTTTCACCTTCGGCTCGCTGACCAACATCGTGATTAGTGTGGTCCATCAGCTGTGCAACAACCTGGACCGCATGGCCCGGCTCGGCCTCCAGCAGCAGCGTCACTTTCCGCCCGACTACGTCCTGTCACAGCTGGAGGCCCTGACCATTCTCTGCCACTACTGCCTGCTGGACAACACCCAGCAGACAGCCCTCTCGCATCTGTTCAACCAGGCGTATCCCCAGACTAGTTCCTCGGCCCAGAGCTCCAGCACGGGCCAGCTGCTGAACAGCATTGTGCACTCGTTCCTCTCGACCAGCGAATTGACGACCGGCACATCGGCACCGGCACCGCGCAATCCGCAGCTGCAAGCTGCCCGCAACGCAGTGCTCTCGCACCTGCCCAGGATCATGAGCAGTGTGGCGGCCATTTGGGACAGCGAGCTGGGACAACTGCGGCCCGTGCGACAGCAGTTGATGGAGTTCCTGTCGCCCGTATCGCTGCACCATGGCTGCAACTTCCTGGCCGCCGTGGCAGTTACCTGGCAGCAAAGGGGCAGTAGCAATGGCTCCAATGCCAGTGGGTTGAGCATCTCCGACCAGTTTCAGCGCAACTCCACCCTGCAAGCCTGTCCGGGACAGCTCTCGCTGGTCTCCCTGGTGTCCAGCATACGGGTGATGCCCATGGACTCGTTTGTGATGACCCTGCACCAGGTGGTGCGGTCTCCTCCGCCCATCCATCGCCCGCCCGCCCATCTGAGCATCGAGGTGAGCGCCCTGGAGCTGTTCTACTTCTACATGAAGTCTGCGCCCGGCTCCCAGCTAGCGGACGCCTGGAGCTCACTGCTAGCCCTCATTCGAGACGGGCTCAGTCTCTCGCCGCCGGCGCAGTTCGCGTTGCTGATGCTGCTCAACGAATTCGTGCAGCGGTGTCCCCAGATGCCGTTCCAGGACAAGAAGGAGGTGAGGGAGCTACACGACGTCACCTCGCGGCTGGTGGACTCGCTGTCGGGTGTGGCCGGATCCTGCCTGGAGCAGACTACCTGGCTGCGTCGCAACCTAGCCGTAAAGGAGGACACCGATGGCCTGGCCAAGGACAACAGCATCGGCGGCGGCGGCATCCAGCAGTACTCGCTGCAGGCCCAGAGCGTCCTGGCCACCATCCTCTCCAACCTGCTGGACGTGGCCTACGGGTCGCAGGAGAAGGACAAGGTTGTGAACATTGTGACCCCCCTGCTGTACAACATCACGCCCTATCTGAAGAACCACACGGCCCGCAATGTGCCGTTCTTCTATGCCTGTTCGGCCCTTTTGGCCAGCCTCAGTGGCTACCAGTACACGCGCAAGGCGTGGCGCAAGGACATGCTGGACCTGCTGCTGGACAACTCCTTCTTCCAGATGCACATCTCGTGCCTCCCCTTCTGGCGCATGATCATGGACAGCCTGATGACCTACGACAACACCACCTTCCGCGAACTAATGACCAGGGTGTCGCTCTCACAGGCAGGCAGTCTGAACATATTCACGTCGCGGGAGCAGGAGTTCGAGCAGAGGGGCATGCTGCTGAAGCGCCTGGCCTTTGTCATCTACTGCAGCGAGTTCGATCAGCACAACAAGTATATGCCGGACATTCAGGGTGAGTGAATCGAATCTGCAGATGTACATATCTATAGGTGGAGATGTACTTGATCCTTGTACTTATTTTCGCACGCAGAACAACTGGCAAACAGCCTGCGTCTGGTGCCAATGGGCCCGTCAGTGCAGGCGGCAGTATTCCTGTGCTTCAGGGTGCTGCTACTCCGCATGTCGCCCGATCATGTTACCTCGCTGTGGCCCATCATCATTGCCGAAATGGTGCAGGTGTTCCTGCAGATGGAGCAGGAACTTAAGTCGGAGAGCGAAGAGCGCAGGTGAGGCGCAGTCGTCAGTCGCAGCTGTGATGTGATCCAACTAATCAATCTGCTCTTCTCCTTAGCCAACAAATGCGACTGCCGTCGAGCATAGATGTGTCGTGGTCAAACAATTCTGGTGCCAGCAACGGCATCAGTGCCCAGACACCGATGCAGCATTGGCGATCAGTTCAGCTGGAGGCCTGCAAGCTGCTGGAACTTGGCTGTGTGCTGCCGGCGACCAAACTTCCCCACTTTCAGATGTATCGATGGGCCTTCGTGGGCACAGAGTTCGATGTGCACGAGGAGGAGGTGGGTCTGCCCAATGGCAGCCTGGAGAACCTGGCCGCGCTGCCCAGTGCGCTGTATGTGCCCCATGTGAGACGCGTGGCTAGGCTGATGGACATGAAGTACACCAGCCAATCGCCGGTACGGCATTATCTGCAGATTATATGATAACCTTAGCGTCAACTAATCTCCATATTCCTCCGTATATTTGTAGTTGCTGCAGCGTCCCAGCAATCGTCATTTGATGCTGAACTTCCAGCAGCTGCAATCGCTTCAGGAGCTCTACGCCTTCTTCTCCACCCTGGGCATCAGCTGTCCACAGCCGCGCAACTTTGCCGACACGGAGCGGGATGTGGCCAATTGCCTGGAGGAGATCGAGGATGTGCTGGCCAATGATTTCCTGGAGAAGCTACCCAGTCTCACAACGCCCAGATGAAAACTGGCAACGCCCTACAGGCAGACCCTGACGCTGACGCAGACGCAGACGACGCGTCTGTCGCAGTTTGAGCTCAAACTGAATGTGAATCTGGGCGAGTTTGCCATGGAACCGGCGGCACATGGCGGCCGTGGCCAGGCAGCTCGCATCATCGCCGCCATGCAGGCAACCCTCACAAGCCAAAACGCAGAGACGAGCTTCATGCAGATGCAGACCCACAACAATAAGAAGACCAACTTTCCATTTTATGTCTAAGTAAGGCTTACGCTGAGTATGATACGATATATAGCTAGCTAGCAAGAAGATTATGGGGCGAGGCGAAGCGAGCATAGAGTATACATACATACATATATATATATATATAGTTATATACATATATACCAGTATAGATATCTGTAGTGTGATCGATCAGTTGTTTTAACTGTTGAGTGTTTAAGAGAGATGGATGCCCATAGCCCAATAATAATAATAGTAATATTAATATAGCCCCTGTATTGTATGTAATGTATATGTATTTAAACTGTTGATAGTTGCGCCGAAGTCAAAGTGAATAAGAGACGTGTTTACGACAAGTTGCAATCAAATACATGAGCGTATTTTATTCCAAGAACAACACACAGAGCTAGAAAACGTATGGTGATGGGGTAAAATGAAACTAGGGGAGCCCTAGTCTATGGCAAATGTGAGCTTCAAACCACAGGCACGGCCTGAGGTGAGCCCTCGCGGTTCTTCAGCTGTACGTAGTAGGAGTAGATAAGACGGGCGCAGAAGACAACGATAACTGCAACAAAGGAGAGGTCTATACTTTCTGTCAACAATTTGGGGAGCAAGATAGCACTTACGAGTCGTTAAAATATACGAAAGCAAGGCTCCGAATATATTATTGAATCCGGTGGACTCACGATACCCTCCGTAGTGGAAGATGACGCCGAATACGGCAAATGGGAAACCGATGACTACGAGCAAGGCGTATATAAGCCAGCCAAGGAGCAACAGGCGCTTGTACTGCAAAGATAAACAGAAATCGATGAATCAGATATAAGCGCGTATATCTTTAGTTAACTCACCTTAATGCAGCCGATCAGCAATAATATATTGGCCGTTAAGGCAATGGCAAAGCCAACAAAGTTGACCACTGGAAAAAATAGAATCGAAGAGTCAGTTTGGATTGGGTGACACACGCGAGACATGTCGTCATCATCAGAAAAGTTTCACGCTATTCTATTCAAAAAACCAACAACAGATACGACTATGGGAACTTGTTTCGATGTGGGGAGATGATTAGCTCATGCTTTTTAAGCATATATATATATGTACAATGTACATATATATGTATACGTTTAGTTATTCAAAATATATACAGGGGACTAAATCTGTATATGTATGTGTATTTATCAATGCTTTTAAGGCATAGCATATCCGTTTTTGAGCACACTAGCATACAATTTAAATATATTGCCACAAACGGACAAATGAATTTATCCAGATAAACAAATGCCACGCCTTGAGTTCCACATCACATACCCGATGGCGCGAAGAGCACATTAAATGTGATGGACACCAGCGAAAAGATCGCTATGCCAAGGCACCAACTCCTGAGATCTGTGTTGCATGGCCCCTGATCGACAGTCAGATCGATTTTCATCTTGAGATTCTTTGGCTTCGGTAGTCTTTTGAATTTTCCACAAAAGTGAAAACCGGTCGAGATTCTTTGGAGCACAAACAGCAGCGACCACAACGCGCGAGAATGAAAACGAGAATGAAGCGTCTCTAGGTCGGCGGCCGGAGCAACATTTGTTAATAAACGGAGAAATGTTAGCCAGTGGCGTAGCTACGAAGGGGGAGAACGCAGGTGTGAGGCTCTGGGGGTCTCGGAAAGATATCAGAATAAAAGTTTTTGGCATATGGACTTTAAAAAAATCATAGTCCAAAGAAGTGTCTATGAGAAACCTTGTGTGTTTCTAGCGTTTTGTTGGTCTATCAAATATCGCTAAACCCGTTACCATTATTATTAGCTATTAACTTAGTAACGTACGCCACTGATAACAGCGCGTGAGTGTGATGCGAGTGTTAAAGTGTGTGTTTGGTAGAGCGAGCTAGCGCTGGCGCTGGCGATAGCCAGCGTGTGTGGGTGTTTGAACAAAACAAGCAATCGATAGAAAGATACATATATTAACTACGCATATAACGCACAATTAAAACTTACGCATGAAATGAAACTGAAAACGGTTGGTTATATTCAAAAAGCTCGTAAATATCTACATATACGGCAGCACTGTCAGAGTGACACTGTTATTTTCGGTCACAGTCACAGTCAGGATTATTTAAAGCTCTGCTATAAAAATATATTTAACTTACTTCATTGTAGATTTTATATAATGGCAAATCACACTTAACTGAACATCAAAGAAATACTTGGATGCTCACAGCCGTTCCGTGACTTTCCTTTCGTAGTGATTCCGGGACAGCGTTCTGTGATATTGCTCCCTCGACTTCCATTGATCTGGCATCCCTGCTTTTGGATGTTAGCTTTTGCGACTTAATTATTGCAATTCCATTTCTAGTGCGCCGGCGAACGATTGCAGTTTAGTTTTCTTTTTGTGCGAATAAGAATCGGAAAAAACCCAACCCAGTGAAAATGTTGACCAAAGTATGCGGTATGCGGTTGAACACCTACGGTATGGTTGTGGGATGGCTGGGCGTGATTTGGTCGTTTTTGGCAGTGATCTTGCTAGGCACTGCCCTCGGATTTGTTGATGAAATCGCAGAAGAGGTCGCCAAGTCCAATCAAAAAATGAGTGTCAGCCAAATTCGTACTGGTAAGTGATAAACCGCGTGCATTTGATACTGTTCTACCTTCATACCTACATGCATACATACATTTATGTATATGTATCCGTTATTCTTTTGCAGTGCTGGTGATAGCGTTCAGCGTCTTTTTGGCTCTGAAAGTAATAAATCTGCTGTCCTCGTCTCTTCTGGTGATGGGCACTGTTAAGGTAACCTCAATCCTTAGCTCTGGCCGATTGAAAATGCATTGTCTTTGTCCTCTCTCTCTCTCTCTCTGTATTGCAGGAGCGTCACCTACTCCTGCTGCCCTGGCTGATCAACTCCGGCATAGCCCTTTTCTTCACCATCATCTACACTGCGGCCGTATGGGTGGTGGCCATTGGTTACTCACCTTTTCTCCAGGCTATTCCACAACTCCTGGTCTCTGGCGGTCTTCTCGGTATGTAAAGCGTGAATCATTCTCTGGATCCACACACACACACATGCACATCAATATACATGCATGCATTTATAATTGGAAATGGTATACAACAAATGTTGTGAAATTGCAGCCAGATAGAGCTTATCGCTGGGTTTTCTGTATACTGTACGTCTGTACTGTACGTACACATACTCGTATGTACATACAGATGTAAATCAGTATTCATATATACACTTCCTATTTGAACAGAGAAATCACCAAGCACGCTGCTTTAATTGTGTATTGCTTTCGTTCCAGGGCTTTGGTGGTATCTGTACTACGGCGTATACTCGCTGTTCAAGCATCTACAGCTTTCCAGCGATCAGCAGCGCCCGCTGATGCAGGGACCACCCCAAAGGTCGGGCGAGCATTCGGCCACCACCTATCCGAATTACACCAAGATCTAAATGGGAATTGGAAACGAAGTCATTCGAACAAAGCGAATTCCCTTCTAACTATATTTAAAAACATACATGTATATCCGCATATACTTACCCACAACCCCATCCCCGTATGCCTATTCTTCATCGAATATGATCGCTCAGATGCCAAACAAATATTTGCCATTTTTGCTGATAACATTAAAATATATTTTCTACACAGACTAAAAACAAGCATTTTTGGGGCCTACAACTAAAAAGCAGCTGCACACTTAATTTTTTTTTTTGTGGGCGCCCGCCCACATTAGCTGAAAGCGGAGCTGATAAAAACCAACATGCTTGACCAATGGGCGAGCTTTCAGATCAGCTCAGCTCAGCTCAGCAGCAATGGTATTCGAGTTTTTCGGCTTCGCTTTCAGCTGGTGTGTGCGCGAGCCCTTACGGATAGTCATCGACCATTGGGCGGGCTTACTGTCATTTGCCCAGACCCAGCCACATGTAGCTGGGATCGATGAGCTGCGAGCCGCGATAGCCCTGCGGATTGCGCGACACCAGCGAGCGGATCTTCTGCGAGGGTCGATAAGTGCGTATGGCTTGCAGCAGCTTCGAGGTCTTCTGGTCCTGCTCCTGCTGCTGCTGGACTGGGTCGGCGTCTGTCCCATTGAGGGGTGTTTTCATTTGGAGCGGATGCGGATGCCTGCCTTGCAGCAGGCGGACCTCCGACTCCCCCAGTTGCGACTGCTCCGCGAAGCGCACGTTCTTCTCAAGATGGTTGAAGAAGTTGCCCAGATTGGTCATGGCTCCTAGAAGAAGACGTAAACAACACTCAGAGGCATCAAGACGGGACCAGCCCCCGCTACCCACCAGCACTGATCGAGGGCATGTACCGGAGAGACTGCGTCTGCAACAGGTTCTTGCGCTTGCCGGGCCGCTGTCCGTTGGGCCAGAAGTAGGCGTACGGATAGCGTGGTTCTCCTGACGGTGGCTGCTGCGCATCCTCCTGACTGCCCGTGTCGAAGGGCCATTGGATGGGCGACCGCTTGGGCTTGGCTCTGGCTCTTGGCGGAGATTGCCACTTCTGCAGGACCAGCAACTTTTTGATATAGTTTTCCTGGCGCTGACGCCATTCACGGCTCAGGAGCTCCGGAAACGGCGGAAAATAGTCCGCCATTGTCGCATCGCCCAATTCGTTTGCCATTTCCGCAGCCTTCGTTTTTGGCAAAGGACTTCCGTTGTCAACAATATCAAGGTATGGGAATTGGAATGGGTATGACGTCGTCGCTTCTGGCTGGACCCATTCCCAATCGCTGTCCGGTAGGAGCTCCCGGCTCTCCGGCAGCAAGTCCCAGGGCACTGTTTCCCCCTCTGCTCGGATGAGGGGTGCCGAACGCATCGGCGCTGCTGTGGAAAGAATCGAGGAACGATGGGCCATTAAAAGTGAGTTCCCCAAGGATTTTCAGGACAAAAGCGAACAGGAGCGGGGACATGAGCGCTGGCCTGGCCCTCGAAAAGGGTGCGCTGTCCAATTTCCGTAGCAATCCTACAGATGTTAATTACTGATAGGCGCCAGTTTCCCCTCAGCAAAGGTCAATGTTCAATTTCGCATCAAGTGCTGGAAAACTTAATTTTGCACGAAATAATATTTGTTGGGGGGTTTCCACAAGATGCGATCTCATTTAAATGTATGTATGTATGTACCTACCTATATGTAAGTTCTGCTTATGCATGTGTATAATGTGCACTCATTGTATGGTGAAACAGTGAAAACTCTATTTGCGTACATTATCTGGACTAATTGGACTGGACTTTAACTGAAAATGTTGGTATATATTTTTGCATATTTATTTATCTCTCTCTCTCTCTCTCTCAACTATAGGTTGTTTCTGTGCTAAAGATCTTTCACTGTATTACCTGTAAGTGTGTACACTGGAAAATGTTAGCATGTTCTCTGATTCATCAGCATAATAAAAAAAACCCCACTTCATTGTTTGCCTGCTCAATTTCTTGGAATGAATGCATGTAAATATGTATATAACACTAGTCAACACTAGAATTTTGGCTGTGGCCCAAAATATAGATTCTTATAGATTTCGGGGTTTAAAAATTTTTAACGAATTATGGTGCAGAAGTCAATGAGAAGAAGGAACAAATTTGAGAATGTGCAAAAATTGACACTGCTGCGCTTCATTTACTTGACTCGTTTCTTTTGTTTAATCTGATAAGGAGTATAAAGATAACCTAAGCAAACATAGGAGTACTCATAGTTATCTGGCTCTCATTGCGAGTTCTTCTAGTTCGAGTACTCCGCGTTCAGAATAAATTTTACACCTTTGATTAACAAGAAATTGATTTCTGTTAATTGTTATTAGGTCATTCAAATTAATAAATACAAATTTTGCTGATAGGAATATAGATTAATGGGAAAAACTAATCTTCTATCAGTATACCCAGTATTATACCCAGTACTCGTAACATTCAGTAGGAATCATTTCCGATACCATAAAGAGCTCTGTTTTATGTGAATTCAATGGAGCTGTACTATAGTTCTTTCATATGTCTGTCGCATATTTATGCGACATTTTGTCTTGCATAAGTCTGCTACATCCTGATCGATCTACCCTATCTACACCTACCTACTCATCTACTCATCTACACTCAATGGGATTTGGGTATGGCATAAAGGGAATATTTGGAATTAAAAGCAAAAAAAGAAACTCACCTGCAGATAGAAGCAACAGCATCAGAACCCAACGCCTCATCATTGGATGCGACATTTTGTGAATAAATTTTAAAGTGGAGCCCTTGGGGAGCGTTGTTACATTGTCTCGAAGCAGAAACCTCAAGACTACCCTTTTGGACTAAATAGTTTCGAAACACATCTCAGATAGCTTAATTTTACACAATTTCAAAGGACAACTGCTGCTCCCACTCGTTAGGATCGAATTCCACGGCGAAGCTTCTGCAAACGACTGACCATGAAGGCGGCAGCTTCGTGCGTTTTTATAGCTCCACCAGGATGCGAACTAAAGCCAACCGAACCCATCCCTTGCCACCCACCCACAACCTACGAGCACCTGTTGCCCCACGACAACGACAACGACAGCAACAGCGACACTTTGCGATGGCTACGCTGGGGACATGCGCACCAGCTCTGGACGCGAACCTGTCACCATTGGTTTGGGGTTTATCAAGTGCGACCTGAGCCGGGATATTTTCAAATATGCAGAGCAATGGCAGCGGCAATGGCACTCGGAATGGGATGCGGAGTCGAGTGTCCAAGGAGTCTGTACTTCGAGTGCTGCATTGAATCCTTTTCCTATTGACTTTTTAACGGGCCAATAAGGCTCAGGTGTGCCAAAGGGACTCAAGAATCAGGCAACGGGCGCAATTATCTTGTCATATTGCGCAATATTCCTAGTTTTTGGTATTGCATCTCCTTGCCAATATCCCGTCCAAGTCAGATAACCTGATGTCTGATGTGACGTCAACGTCACAAGGCTTTGGCTTTCGCTTTTTCAATTTTGTATTTTGTATTAACATAATTGGGTCAGTGGCTGGCTGGTGGTTTTCCCCCACTGGTCATTGTGCCATGCAGCCATCCATTGTGCTAGTCCAGCCAGTCCAGGGCTTTGCACTGCCCTGACCTGACCAGTGCTCCTTTTTTTGAGTTGCATACGTAATTGAGTTTGTGTGCACAGCTTCAGGGCGGATTTTAATAGTCCAGAAACTAGCCATCAGCCATCAGTAGTCAGGCAGGCTGCCACGCTGCCACGCTTCCAGGCGGCAACTTTCGCTTACAGTATTTAAAAAAGTTCCGATCAACAGTTGACAAAAACCGTTTCAATTAAAAGTTTAATGATTAACCTAACACATACTACGTACGCACATACATATAACCGTAGCATACATACAAATGAAAATGTATATAGGCCAATTTAGAAATACTATCCTGAGCTTTATCCTGAGATAAAGATCTGTCTATTAAAATGCTTAAACTCATTTTTGGTAATCCTGCTGGGGATAATAATAATAAAAGTTCTTCCCAATTGTAAATAAGTAAAATAAGTCGACGCTTTTCACATTCTACATGGGAGTGCCAGCAGGTGTAGCGCATTAATAAGTCGTCGCTTGCTGCTAAAAGCTCTCTTGCCGTTCCATTGCCATGTCGTTTCACTCAGTGTCAAGCTGTGCTCTGGTGCTTTTGGGGCTACTCATGGCTAGTGGGCCTCACTCGAATTCAAGCTTTCGCGCCGTGAAGTTGTGGCCTGCGCATCCATCGCAGTTGTTGGAGGCGACAGAATAATTGGCTTAGCAGCGATTCGAAATTCGTGGTGCAAAGTGAATTCCGGTAAGGGACTCGCGCCAAGTGCCGTTACAACCAGGGAAAACCTGAGGAAAACAAAAACAAACTCCAATTCAACTTGAGGAAAAGGTGCGGCATTCAAGAATAACTTTCTTTATTGGTCGGAAAGGACAGAACAAAACAGAATAGAGTAGAACGCTGGACTAAGGGTCTGCACTTGGCGTTGCATTTGCCAGGAAAGAAGCCAACTCCCATTCCGTATGCTCGCCCCCCCACCTGAAGTTGCCGGATGAGTGCGCAGACGCCATGGGGAAAACGGCTGTTTTCACATTTCCCGCGTTGGCAGAAGGTTGACGACCCGCCGTATGCCGTACGGAAAAAGCCGGCTCTGACAATCGCCAGGGCCCATTCCTGGGCATCCACGCTCACTTTCGTTCATCGCGTCTCGGGGGTTGTGTTGTGCTGTTTGTGGTGTCCCTCTACCTCCCCTAGCAGCGATTCACACAACGATTACCAAATGGAACAATCTGTCGGCTTACGTTGCGTATGCTCAATGGCTGAACGCCTAACAGGCTGCCCCCATCGCTGGTGGGCGGGCCGTGCGCTGTTTACTTGGCCCACATCCCGGGTTAGCGTACCCCTCAGCCATATTCGGGGATGGTGAGAATCTCTTTGCCTAGCACGCACTGGCACTTGATTTCTGGGGGCGGCTTCAAGAGCCTCATGCTCTTGTGGCTGAGAGCAAATACTCGTTCGTACTCACATGTGCTAAATATGGTAATAGCTGAAGTCTGTGCTGAAATCAACGATTCCCTGGATGCCCTACAGCATTTATGTTTATGAATGGAATGCTCTATCCTAAGGCTAGCCTCCGGTTAGCAAAAGCTTCTACAAATCTGCATCTTAGTCATTGATTTTAGCTGTAATTACGGCTGACTCGATCGCTTCGCTTCCGATCGATGCCAAAGCAGTTAGCCTTGGAGGCGCTTAGACAATGATGCAATGCTGCATCAGCTGCCACTAATCATCAATGAAGCGTGCAACAAGAATCGAATTCTTTAAGATACGGAGAGTAGCAAGTCACGTGGACAGCATGCTATGGCATTGGCCATCAAGCAAATGTGCCGAAACAGCAGAGTTCTGCTGCTGCTGCTGCTGCTTCTGCCCCACACACAACTATTGTACAACCGGTTCAATGTTTGCACAATTTTTTGTCGAGTTTTGGGTTCTTTTTGTGTGGTTTTTTTTTCTGTGTTGCTTTTCGGTCTGTCGCCAAGCATTAAATATTACTGAATGACTGTGGCTCTCCCATTTTTTACCATTTTACCCAAATTTACAGGGGGGAAGCTACGTGTGGAGCATACACTCGATTTGGCTTCGTCTCCGTCTCCAGCTTGTTAGCTTGTTAATTTGAATTTCACACACACTCACACACACACAGCTTCTCTCCCTGTCAACGCTCTTTCTGCTCCCCTTCTGATAACCATAATTTAAGTGTTGTTTGTGTTATATTTAAAGCAAAAGCTTTGGCCACCCTCGCGCCGCTTTGCCACACCTGAAGGTCACATCCACTTCCTGCTCCTAACCACCTGCACCTCCCCTTTAACCACTTCCTGTTCCTTTCCATTCCTTCCTTTGCGTGTGTGTGTCGAACCAATGAACTAAACGTGTTTCCACTTAACTCTGAACATAATTTCATTGCTGCTGCTGCTGGTGCTGGTGCTAGTGCTGGGGATGTTGCTGTTGGCCACAAGCCACCGTTAGCTGTGCTGTGCTCTGTTACTGAGACAACCGCAACCCATTCTGACCCTGGCTGCTTGCCTTTAATTACTCATACGCCAAGTGTGACGAGTGCTGACCCCACCCAAAAATGGAAGAGGAGTACAGTGGGGTCCCAGCGAATGCAACGCGAATTGAGGGCTATCCCACGACTGCAGCTTGTTACACCTCACCCCCACCATATTATAATTTGTTCTGCTTTATTTTCCTTCTGCTGGGCAGTAAACATTTGCCTAATGGGGCTTCTTTTTAAGAGGGTGTCGTTGGGTAGAGAGACCGTTGGGAGACCGAGCAGCCCGGGTACATTGCCCTCCAACACATTTGCGCCCTCAAGCATGGCATGGCATGGCAGAGCAGAGCAGAGGCGGCCCTCCGCCTCTCTGGCAAAAAAAAAAACTAAAAACCGAAACTGAAATTGTCGTTAATTTGTTTTGTGTGTAAAGTGAAATTTTGTGCGAGTATGTTTCAAGCAGTGGCTGTTATTTCTGTAGCTGTTGCCTCGTTTTGTTAATGCAGCGATAAATTCGTGACGTTCGTTTTACACACGGGCCGCTGGCTACAGACCCAGACACGTTTTGTTGACCCCCCCCAAAGAGAACTTTCCAAGCGCGATACGAAAGCTCTCCTCTCCTCTCTGCACTCCACTCAACTCCACCTCGTTGTTGGCTGTTTTTCGCTTGCCATTTTAGTATTCATCAGAACGAGGGGAAATGTGGCTGGCAAAAATGTGCAAATTGCATGCTACAAGCAATTTGCCCAGGCCACATCCTGGCCCCATTTCCTGATCCTCATGCAGTCGCAGTCCCTGCCTGGCTTAACAATGCCTTGACATCAGGACATCAAACGGGGGAACAAACAATGGCCAAGAGAATGGCGAGGACACTTAACCCAGTTTTTAGTTTCATTCAGATGCTTCGCATTCACTTTGACATGCCCAAAACGCCGGAATGATATCATGTCGGCTCTCTGCCCACGCTCTACGAGTAATCCCCATTCCCTGCCCACCCCCACCCCAACCAGTGACCTAAATTCGGTTCTATTCCA